CAGGACTGCATTTAAGAGTGTTTTCTTACAGAGGATGTTCTTGTGGCCCATTTATCTTGACAAAAATACACATTACTGAAGGGAGTTTTTGCTCTGCCATTAAGCAGAGCAAAATGTAATCTGAACCATAGACTGAAAAGGAAAATGACACCATGTTTCAAGGCAGTCGTAATGGACACCATAACACCAAGGTGCAAAACCATGTGGTGTACAGAAAAGTAGGTGAAGGAAAGTAGCATTGCTGCTTCTCATAATCTGAACCCTTTTCCCTGCAGGTTTTCAAGGAAGTGGTTAAAACAGGAAAAATCTTATTTACCTTAAACCAACAAAAGAACTCCTTCCTTTACTGAGAGACTGTTAACTTTCATGTCCAAATAAAAAGTTAGAACTGTCCTTCACTTTAAGAATTAAGTGCTAAATTAATAACAAAAAAATTAGTTGAATTATCAGACATTCATCTCTTTCCTGAAGTTCTAGGTCTTCTTTAGCATTTTCAACACAAATAATTTTAAATTTCTTAATTCCCTCAGCATTTGAGTCAGTATATTTTGTCAGGACAAAGTCCACTCCCAGTATTAATCCTCACACATAATTTTGTTTGTATTATCTTCATCAGTGTCTAGCAGCAGTGGGATCCTTCAGGAACATGAAATTTAACCAGTTTCAAAATTGGACCACTCCTTTCTTTGTACATAATCTATCATCAGTGTCAAGATCAATCAGAAGTGCCTACCTTCTAAGAAGGCTCAAAGTTTTGGGGTTTTATTTCTCAGATATGAAAACCTCTAAAGTCCTATATGAATACAATTTTTAAAACAGTTTAAAAATCACTTCAATTAAAGTGGGGCCTCTAGGAATGATGAGACTTCTTAAACTGGTATGCTAACATGTTTTTCCAAGCATGTGATGCCATTTGCTAAGCTGAAAATGTTACAATTCATTACTAATGGCTAAAGATCACTTAGACATTAATAAAGGACAATATGTCTGATTTAAAAGAAGGAAGTTTGAAATAATTTCCATTGAAGAGTATCTTTGGATGTGTATTGTGAGTCCCCATTTGAGAAGGTTTTTTTTGGGGGGGTAACAATAATGAAAGCTAAAACTCAAACTCAGTGGTCTATTCAGACACCACTGACTTGAAGTTCAGCCTTCTAACTTCATATGCTCATTCTTCTCAACAACCTCACTCAATATTTGTGAGAAAAGAGAATAACATTCACTCTACCATTTGGAATTCTTTTACTTGCTAAGATGCTCCTTGATTTACCAAATCCACTCATCCATCCAATCCATACGGGCACAATACATATAATGAGATACAAATAATGTAATCAGATAAAATATACTGTACATACTAAATTCAGAATATCTGTGCCTCACTCATATTCTCCCAGCTGCATGAGAGGAGACAAAATTCCCGGTTGTTTTGACAGAGACTTTTTCAGAAATTAAGTTTATGGCCATTAATCACCTCTGATTGCTGTAACAGGGTCATTTTGAATGTGAAGATGTCATTGTAAGTTCATAAATTTTCTTGATAATTTTATGCCTGTGGCTTGTGTATCGTAATTCTGACAGTTCACGCAGACAGCATTATGTCATAAATTACCACATTTAGTTTGGCATGAGTCTCAGTGCTCATGAACACTGCCTCTATTATTTAAATGTGTAACATATCTGAAGCACAGGATTCAATATCCAAAATAAAGGAACACTCAGGAAAAAACCTAACAGGAGGTTGGGACTAGATTTTTCCTAATGATTTGGGATGAAACTGTAATTGAAAGAGAAAAATCCACTATACACTATACTTTGAAGAATTCTTGAAAGCCCAGTCTAAGAGAAGAAAAAATTCCACATCAAGCATTAGATTGTAATACCTTACGCAAGATTTCTAATGACACAGAAATATTTCACTTAATATTCTGCTTTCATAACGAGTCTGAGGACAAAACAAGTAAACAGCAACTTTTACTTTAAAATTAGCCTAGATGAAGAACTCTCCATGACAAAATCTCTAAGGTTTAATATGAAATCTATATAATGCAAACTATTAATATTTTGTTGTAAAACCATTAGGCTTGATTATAAAATCAGAAACCAGACGGTATGAAAAATATTATGAACATACCCCACTGTTATTGAATGTAATTAGTTCTCAGGATTTTAAACTTTCACACACTTATATTTTTACATCTGAGTAGTTCTACTGAAATCAATCATATATATCAAATAAAATTAAACTTACTTATACAGATTATACACCAAAACAAATCATGTTAAACACCAAGTTCCTAGCAAATAAAAAACATTCTCTAACAAAACCAGCCCATTTGACACAAAATGACTGCATTTTTTTATAGAATAGGCTGCAGCTTAATCATTTCAGTCTTTAATTACTGCATCAGATAATGACTATTTTGAACATATGCTTCTCTGCCCTGCTAGAAGACATGAATGAAAAAGAAACAAGTTCATATGCATGATCCTGTGTGTGCATGTTGGGGGAGGGAGGCTAAAGAGCAAAAGAAACCAAGTGGCAACAATTGGAGGAAATGGTGCCTGTAACAGCTGCTCCTTTCAGATTCCCCTAGAAGGAGACTGCCTGAGGTGGACCATGGCACAAAGGGATAAAGAAGATGAAAACTGATGCAAAGCAGGGAAATAACTGCTGAGACCCCTGAGTCTACATCCGAATAGTCCCAAGCTGTGTGGCAAGACCTCTTTAGCATGCTACAGAAGCTGGTGATGAACTACATATTACCATGAGGCAAACTGGCTCCTAGCAGTATTGTCTGCATGTTATGTGTAATGATAACCAGTGGGCCCCTGGGAACAAGAGGCAATGATTTCATCTCTGTAAGCATCTGAGCTCCCCTTGGATACAGAGACCATTAAACTGAGAACAGAAGGGGAAATTTTAGGCAATGATTTCCAATTGGAGAGTGAAGACAACTTCTGCTCAACACTACTATCAACCATGGATATTTTACTGCTGTCTATATTGACCACTGCAAAGGACAAAAGGAGCTAAAGTTGTACTCCTTTTTCTTCATCCCAGAGGACACAGTGTATTTTTTGAACAAAAGTACTTTAAAAGCTTTTCATGTAATATTATTGGCTATGCCATTATATTAGAAAATGACACTGTATTATTACCACTGAAAAGTATTGGTATTTCCATTACTGTTAAAATAACATTTTATACTTTTAACAAAATATATAACTTGTTTTTGTATTACAGAGACCTTTGTGCCCTTGCATATCACTTTCCTTAACTGTCAGGTGGTTTTGTAGGACTGAAAATATTAGGTACTACCTATTGGTTACATATTTAAAATGAGTAGCAGTACCTTAAAAAATTCAGGGTTTCAGAAGCTTCCTTAAAAAAAAAATCTGCATGCAACAAAAAGAAATGAAACTTCCAAATGATTGCTGTAAGTTTTTGACATGAGACACAGGGGAGCAATGAAGGGAAGGGAATAGCTACAAAATGTAGTCAAAATTGATTCTGAGGAAACAATGCCAGGACAAATAATATTTTTGACATTTTCAAGGGTAGTTTGATCCTTTGTATATTCTTGAGAAATTAAGATGCAGGCTTCTTCATTTAGCACACTTGTTTATCCTGCTGCTCTTCAGAATTCACACAGTATATTATGTGAAATGAAAAGTTAAATTAAGTTTCTGAAAGTCTGAGAAAAGTTGCTCAGGTAAGAATGCCAGCATACTTGTCAGGCAAAAAACAATTGCAGATAAACTGAAATATAAAAAATTCTGGTCTAATCTATCACACTGACTTCTTGTAAAAGATCAAATATCATAGTCTCATTGCTGTTGTAACTATTAGATACAATTTTATAAAATTATTTGGAGCTTTTTAGTTTTGAAATATTTTTACATTTGGCTACAGGTTTAACTGCAATTCACTGAGAACAGGCTCCCCCTTTCCAGCATTCAGTTGATTTATGCAGAAGATAGGACTTTCAGCATTGAAGAATAATGTATAAAGGTGATCAGTAACTTCTAAAAAAGTCGTAACAAAAATGAAATCAGACAGAAATCTAGAACACCTCCTACACTGCAAGAGCCAAGCAAGTAATTTTGATACACATGCTGAATTAATTCTGGGACTTCTACTGGTCTGCTTCTGAGAAAAAAACAAACAAAACAAAAACCATCACAACAAATACCCACAATTAATGACCTCTATAAAACAAGTTCATTAATAGAATACTGAGTCATTCTGCAGTTACAAGAATAGACAGAAAGAGAAATCAATTGCAATAATCATGAACAAAATATTCAAATTTCTTTCCCGCAGAACATTTCTAAGAGGATCATGGGGGACTGTGACTGATGACTGGCATAAAAGAATCAAGTTGCTGCTAATCTTTCCTCTCACACTGACCTATGAGGAAGAAGGGAACCCCCTCCTTCTAGACTAGAATTACACATGCAGAGCTCTCACAGTATTAGAATTATTAAGGCTCAAGGGAAACATAAGAAGAGGAGTTTGAACTCAAGTATCCACAGCAGGAATTGCATCAGCACTACAGCTTTTCAAAAGCAATTCATATTTCTTCTAAATTACTGATGTTTTAACAAACTGAGTGTGTGAAACGATATATTTTTCATTGTTTCTCACAAATACACTGTACCAAACTAATTTGCAAAACTGGTGTTTTAAAAACCTAAATAAATAGAAACTGTTTGATATTCACATATATACAAGAAAAGCAAGGCTAGTCACATATAATCTGAACAGCCAATTTATACTATTTCTACAGATCCAAGCATGAAAACCTGGACTCAGTTCTGGAATCTATTGGAACTACAAATGCTTGAGCCACATGGATCCCTACCTATAGAACTAGATAAAGTTATGAAATGTCCATGAGCCAAGTCTCTCCAAGTTTTTCGTACTCTGCAAATGCCAAACATGCTGAGGAGGCAGAGGAAGACACTGAGAAAGCTAAATCAAAGAATAAACTTACTGCTAATGCTGTCTCATGCTCTCCAGAAAAATGATATGCTAGACTTAAGCAATAGGCCGCTTCTCCATGCATCTTTATATCACCTCCTAAAGGAAGGGTAAAAGGTAGAGTTACCAGCAGGATCTGAACAAAATGATATTGGTACAGACTGCTCTTGCAGGTTCTTAAATAAGATACAGATGTTAAAATACTGTAGTAAATTTTTCCCTTTCCTTACCCCCACCATGTAGCTCTTTCTGAAAACATACAGTAGTAATTAAAAATAAAGTCAGTGGAGTTCACCAAGGAAGTTCAGCAAAGTCAGAAAATATCTTCCAGTAATAAAGTACAATGAAAGTAACGTGTAAGGTTCTCTGACATTAATTGTTTAATCATAGTGTCTTCATATTAGAAAATAATACAAGTCTCTCTACATATACTCAATATAAAATAGAAGTGGGTAGAAATAGGTAACAAGCCTTAATCTATAAACACAAAATGTATCTCACATTTTGCTAATGTGAATCTTGGTGAAACACCAGAGAGAACCACCAGTTGACCACTTTCAGCTTTCTTATTTTCCTGTCTGTTTTACTAGCTACTGTAGGGTTAAAAAGCTAAAAAAATGGATTACTTATACTTGCAAGCAGTACTTAAAGAAAATTCTGGACAGGTTGTTGCTAAGGTGCATCCCACTTTCCATGCCAGGTTTTATTTCACTGATACTAGTCTAACAACACTGCTTGCTGGATCTTTTGCATGGCTCCTTCAAGAGAAAATAATCTATTTGATACCAAAATAAACATAAACTAATAGTCCTTAAAGTATCACATTATATTCAAAAATTTCCTTCCAGAACATGAGTAGCTCTAAAAAACCCTGTAGATGAAATTATATTAAAAATAGCCAAAAATCCAATTTTTCTGTTGCTCAATATCCATCTGCTCCAACAAAATAAATAGCAAAAAAATCAACCTGAAGAATAAATGTATATCAAGGTATTTTTCAAAATGCATAAATAAATACAGTTGCAATGAAAAGGGAGATTGTCTGCTTACAGTTGTAGAATTTTCTGTCCAAACACACAGAAGTCTACACCTAGTTCTGAAACTCTCTGAAAGAAAATTGGTGAGGCCATAGCAGTGGCATATAGTGGCACATATAGCACTTAATGTTACTCACAATTATTAAAAGCCTGTAACTCAAAAACCTGATGGTCTTTTCTAATATTCAATATCCATTAAAAGGCATAATAAGGCAAAAGGATACAGAAATACAGCTTCACAGAAGAATAGTAAATTAAAAGTCGCTAGGGACAAAAAGAACATTCTTCCTTGCTTAAGAGGGTTTGACAGTCCGAAGCAGGTAACAGCTAATCCTAATTCCTAAAGTGCATAAACACAGAAGATGGTCCAGAAGGACAGAATGGACATTACAGATAACACCCAGTAGCCAGTATGGCTCTGGAATGAGGACTAGAGAACTCCTCAGAAAGAAGTTCCTAAAGCTTAAATTTAAAGAGGACGACAGCTCATATATTGAGCATAGCAATATGTGCTACATGCCTCAGGAAGCTGTGAAAGTGATTGATTTGAAATTTGAAAAAAAAGGGAACCAGAACACCTGCCTGGTCAAAATAAGTTTTGGAAAGATGTAAGATCCATTTTGCCAATCATTTAATATCCAGCAATTTTCACTGGCATTAAGAAGACATTCATATGTAATTTCATAGCAGTCCTTCTAGTTACTACACCTAATATTAAGAGGAGTTTAACTGTCGCTGTAATTTAAGCATAATTATAAACAATAGCTGTAGAAAACACTACAAGCTTGTATTATGACCTATACAGTCACAATGTTATTTGTCACAGAACTTACTTTTAAATTTGGAAAATATTTTCATTTTTTGCCATTTTTGACAGTTTATCTATTCCAACTACTAGTCAAAGACTGGGTCACAGATTAAATGTTTGGCATACGTTATTTAATTAAAAAAACCCTAATAGATCTGCGGATAAATATTGAATTAATATGTATTTAAACAAAAACCTTATTCATTGTGAGGGTGTTTGTAGAGTGATAAATCTTTCCAGAGTGATTATGGTGGCTCTACCTGTGGAAATACTGAAACCTGACTGGATGTAGCCTAAGTAGCCTGCTCAGGACAACCTTATGAGTTCCAGAGGTTTCTCTTCCTGCCTCTGCTGTTCTGCGATTCTGTAATTTTTTACTTTAGGTTTAAAAGTATTTATGTATATTTAGGTAGAAAATTTTGTGTGCTTATGATAAAAACCTATTTTTTTTTCAAGTATAAAGTGACTATGTAGAGTGAAAAGGTAACTTTTCCAGCAGATAATATCAGTTAAAAACTCACAAATCAGCAGTGACTAGCCAATCAAAATCAAAGACCTCAGCTTCCATCAGTGACTTCACTTACTGAGTATGGGTTTACAGTTTTGTATTATTGTTCCCACAAGGTTTTTTTTTTTTCAAGATAAAGCTTTGAGGAACCTAAAAGTTTCTTTGTAGTTAGCAAGAAGATATTTCTGCTTCAGTGAAATCTTCAAGCGTTATTGATAACATAGTGAAATTGATAGCATTTGTCTTTGAGTTTCTTAGGAAATAATCACCTATTCAAACCCTGGCTCACGATCAAAATCATTGAAAGAAGGAATAGGAAAACATTGTTTTCCACCTACCTTCTTTTGCCATCTTTAAAGCTTTTAGTAGCATTTTGATGGCCTCTTGGTGTTCTTGATTTTCCAGCATTTTGTCTGCTAGCAAAGTATAAATTCTCCAGAGATGCTGACATGCCAGTGAAGTGTAAGTGTGGCCTGTTTCATCCTTCCAAGATGAGCCCTCTGTTAGCTGATAAAATGTTTCAAAATGCTCAGCAGCTTTCGTGACATGACCTGAAAAACGTAATTCTTAATTAAAATCAGTGCATCACCAAAAATTGTTAAAGTTTGTAGTCTATAATAATTTTATCATTTTAAGTAAGTTAGCCAAACATTCCACAGATTTTTGAAGACTCTTCAATACATAACCCAAAGATCGCTGGAAAATACAAGCAAATTTCACAGTACCCAGTAATGCTCTTATTTAAATTTATAATATTTTTAATTAGCTTTCCTTTGTAAATTTCCAAAGTTAAAGGGGTGTGATTCCATGGATGCAAAGTTAGGATCTTCTAGAAAATAAATTTATTCTAGATTCATAAAGCCTTTGTGGTTCTCATATATCAAAATCACATCTATGCATAAATAATCACAACTGAAATCCTCAAGTTTCTTTTTCCATAATGAAAACCTGAGGTGAAAGATTTGAAGTGTGGGGGATAAAGGTATCAGAACTGTGGGGAAAAACAAAAAACCTTCAGTCAAACAAGTTAATCAATAAAAAAAGAATCAGCATGCAAAATAATTTATTCAACAGTTATTGCAAGGCCAATTCTGGTGAGTTTATCTAGTAAGAGCATTAACCATTGATAGATTAATTATTGAGCCTGAAGTAATATACTCCAAGGTCTTCAAATGTAAGTTACTCAAACATCTTTAAGGCAAAGGAAAGTTTGAAGATAAAATTCAATTAATTTTCACATTCAAGTAGTTTTTTCTCTACCTTCAGCTGGATTTACCTGTGTGCATAAAATTCAACCTAGGAGATTTCCATATCTGCTGGACAATGAAAATTCAAAACTCTTGGAAAGAACAGAAAAGCTTTTCCTCATACATAACGGGTATTGCTGGGAAGCAGGTAAGATAAAATTATTTACAGTAAAAATAATTTTAAAGAAAGCATTCTGGTCACAATATCTCGTTCAGCAAAGACTGTCCTGTAGCAGGGAGAACGATGAATGTGACCATGCCTTCATATGTTTGTGTATGATGGAGGAATCTTGTTCCATAGATCATCAATACATCAACTGTATTTCTATTAACAGCTGAAAAAAAAACAACCATACAATAGGTTCATTTATATGTTTGCAGCTCTTCTGAGATGTGATATTGCTGTTTTGCAGTCTTTTTTTACAGTGCTGAATTCAAACTGCAAAAAGAACCAGGAAGGAGAAAAGTTGTTTCCCAGTCATAGGAAAGGAAAGGAGAAAAGCTTGGAGAAGGATCTTCTTTAAGCATTCCTTGAGAAAATGAGGTTATCTCCCCAGGCCTCTAGCCAACCTAGAGGCAGCAGAACAGCTATGACAGATTTCTCTTATTAACTCAATTTATATTTGTCTTTTGCATGTTACTCCTTTATAACCATGCTTTCAACTTTGCAATATAAAATATAACTCATCTTTATTAGAATTAAATTTATTTTCAAATTAAGTTTCTCTTATGATTAAACCGAGTTCAACTAAAACTGACAAGCACAAGAAACTCCTCTTTCAAAGATGCAATTTAATTAAATGAGTGTCATAGACAAATAATTTTATGGCTCTACAGCCTAAAATTAATGTAAGAATCCCAGAGGAAACAACAGGTGTTGAAGAATGCAGTGCCAGGTGAAAGGAGAATCAGCAGATTTTATTCAGTTCCATTCTACCTAGAGATGGGTATTGGAGAGATGGCCCAAAACACTGGGAAAACAGGAAAAGTTCTATACATTCTTTCCAAAATACCACACGCTTGACATCAGACTGCACAAATAGAAAGGCAAAGGGAAATTATCACAACCAGTACAAGCTGTTTACAGAGTCCCTGACAGTAGATAGAACAGAAAATAGACATGTAGATTTGCTAAAGTCAGATAAAAACCCCTGTCTATTCTCAAGAGACACCCAATTTGATTTTTGTCTAGCCAGTTCAGCTAACTTCTTAGGGCACAGAATTCCAGCTACACAAGGTTGCTAAAGGCAGATTTAAGATATTGAAGAAAGTCACGTTGGGTTTGTGATGACTGATTTAAAGTAGAGCTAAAATTTAATATTGATAGAGAAAGCATTTTGTTCATTTGGTTTCTCATAAGCTCATACACTCTTCCTTGGAATTCTCCCTGAAATCAATTAATAAATAGATTGTTCTTTTGAAAGGGTATTATCATACTTTTGAGTCATTGGGATAAACGACATGTTTAATTGATCCTTTACTAGAATTTGATTCATGTGTTACTCAAAAACTTTCAGTAAGAATGGGAAGCAGCAAACTGCTGTTCAGCTTCATGGTGGTATAACCATGAAGCTGAACAGTATCTGAGTTTCTCCTGACACTGCAACATGATCACTTCACAGTACATATTCTTTAGGTAAATAAAACTTGCAATCTCAAGGACTCCTGTTCAGGTTGTTAGAACAATCAGGGGTGGTGATTGCAGTATCCTCTTGAGAAAGTTTCTATGAGACCAGAAATGGAACTCATACATTCCATGCCCCCAGAGCTCTCAGGACCTAACCCTAAGAGTTCCGACACAACACTACTTATGTCAGATCTTAGTGAAATCTCTGTGGAAACAATCAGTCTACACCAAGCTTCAAAATGATAAAGTAATATGATTTTTTTGGTAATATACAAATGGATCTATATTACATTTGGCTTCACTGAATTAGCAAGAAAGATTACACAGTAAAATGTAAATAATCTGCTCACAGAAATACTAAGAGGAAAGTGATGCACAGAAAGCCAAAAGACCTGCTCGTTTCCTAAACAAGGTAGAGATGGAATTCCTGACATGAAAGCCCTTACATGGCTGGGAATTTACTTACTGAAGATGCTTTCAAATAAAAAGAGCTATTTGGATACTTCTCTAATTCATGGAAGGTAAAACATTTTAGACTTTGGAATTCATTCTTCCATGAAAATAAACCAAAATCCTTTGTTGCCACTGGCAAATGACACATCAGCCTATTTATTTAACCCATAATGCTTCTGTGAAACTCAAATATTGTGGGAAAAGTATTTTTCAGGGGGCTGGTGAGTTTAGTCCCTGTCATGAGTCAGTTCAGCTGGAACTGATCAGGCCAGTACATTCTAATTTTTAAACACTGAATTGCTGCAAGTGTTGGCTGCAGACATACATAGAACGCCATCTGAAAATATTGAAAAAACATTAAAAGAAGGCAATTAGCCAATTTCAGAACATTTCTGAGAATACCAGCATTTTTATCTCAGGCAGTGACAAGGGAGTTTTAAATTACTTTTATTATGAACTGAAAAACAAAACAATTCCAAGAAAAGCAGAAAGAGAAGAAAAAACAATGAAGAAAGAAAATCACTCGAAACAGCATGCAGAAATGTATTTTTATAGGTCTAGGAATTCAAAGAGAAAATAAAGAAGGTGTTTCTAGGAAATACATGTTTGAAAAATCTATTTGGAGACTGTTACACAAAGCAGTAAAGCTATTTTCAGTTGGCAACATTAATAGCACTTGCATATTTATTTTCATACTGCCATGAAGAATTTATCTCAGTGGATACCAAGTGGAGTTGGAGATTCTCTGATGTCTCTCTTCTCTTCTTATAAAAGGAATCAAAAACTAGAATGGTAACTCTTACAACATATGTACTACCACTACCAAAATATTATACTTTTATAATTTTCTATAGTTTAATATAATTCAGGGCTTAACAAGGGAAATCCCATCAGCAACAGCTTAATCTTAAATATGGGAGGCTAACATTGTCACAATATAATTCTGGGAGTAGAAAACCAGCTTAAAACAATTATATATAAATAAAAGACATTCTGACAGATTTGTGCTACAGATTTCACTGAATTGTTTCAAATTAAAACTATTCATTTAAGCAAAATAATTCAATGTAATTTTGTAAATATGGAAGATAAATGTTTTTAATCTAAACATGCATTTATAATTCTCCTTCTTAAAACCCAATCCAAAAATACAGATTTCTTATATCAAAATAGATACCAAATCAAAAGGGGTATATATGGAGACTACTATTTTGCCTTTTCTTTAAGTAGAAAGATTGACTAGATATTAACACAAATGGGTTTAAATGCGAAGCTGGCATAAAAGCAGGCACATAAATGTAATTCTCCCAGCCGCTATTTTGATGCACATTTTTGATTCCATGAATATTTTATGAAATGGCCCAAACTAAAGCCATATAACATTCCTGCATTACTGATGCTTGCGCCCGTAAGCTACAAACATTAGAGGCATGATTGAGTGCATTAAAATGAACTCATTCAGCAGTGCATTGATTACTTGAAGGAGAAAAAAAAGTTACTCCCACTTAAGAAAATAGCACACAAACCTGAAGTTTTCAATACTGAAATTAGAGACTCAAATTTGAATAATGTGGTATTTAACAAATAAAGGCAGTGCAAAACTACCTAGAATTCTCTAGATATATTCCTGACTTTAATTAGGTGAAATGTTAATTAGGTCCACAGATTGCTTCCAGTAGTGTACAGGTAATTTAAAATGTCACAATCTGCAAAATGCAGTGACTGACCTGCTCTAGTTCCATGCCTCAGCTATACTGAGAACACCTAATGATTTCCTTTTCTATCAGCTCGTATACTTGCCAATGAAAATAATGCCACAGAAACAACTGCACAAGAAAAGTGACAGGTCTGTTAGGCAGCATGCCTCAGCAGCACTACTAGAAGCAGGAAGCACATTTAATTCTAAATTGTAAACAGTTTTTGAGGGCTTCAGAAAATATTCAACTGTAGATTAAAACAACTTAAAGGTAAAATAAACTTTGAATATATTATAGTATATTTTAATCTAGAACATCTTTTGCATCAGTTATTTCACAATACAATGAGAACACAAAATCTGGTTGAAGCATCAGTTAATGGTAATGAAAACCAAAAATGCTATTATCTTTCAAAAGATAAATGGTTACATTTCAGTCTAACTGCTTGAACTACTTGTATTATGCTCAGTTTCTATGTTCAATTATGACAGCAATACTCATGCTGAAATACTTAAGTCTGCCACAGA